CTACCGTTGCGGTTCTTGGCCACATTTTTCAGCACGTATCTCACGCACTGGTTGTGGTTTTGATTGTGGGCGAGCTGCTGCTGGGGGGACAGCGTCCGTACTCCCTGAGAGGTCTCCCAGACGTGCATCCATAAGGCGTTCGCTGGTCCTTTCTGCTCCGGCTGAATCCAGGCTACCCTCGGATCCATTCAACTTCTCTTTTCTGGTTAAACCCCCCCCCCCCCGTTACGAGTATCTTTACTCTTGGTGATCCCGTTATCGGTGTGCTTCGCCGGATAAAGGCCTCTCAAAGCTCGCCGCGCCGTTTGGAGTTCCGAAAAGAGACTGGATTGGACATTAAACCCGAATTAGGACCATTGATAAGCTGGCCCCCCTTAACACCGCTAGCTGCAAGAATGCTAGCTGACTCCTACGGGAATTCAATATGGCGTATTCTCTTCAAATCCGTGCGCATGCGCAGTGCCAGGGGTTTCTTTAACGATGACTGCGTCCCCGTCCACCCACTTTCACCGCCTCTCAGCCCACCGGTTGATAAATAGCATCAAATCACCGTTATTATTTTTTATTTGCTGCAAAATACTGTTTCGACGAGTTCTCTAGATTGCAAACTATGTATCAGGACACATGGTTTGAGGCTGGTTCGTGTTTAGTAAGGGAATGGGATCCCAGAGGTGGTTATAAATTCACTATGTGTCGCCCCCCCCTCCATCACCGGTGGGTGGGACATGGGTGGGTGGGTTCAGAGGGGATCCCCCGTTCATATGTACTTGCACAACGTCCAAATCCTCCAGGAGTGACAGGTAATTCCTGGCTTTAAACCCTTGTGAGAATTTGACGCTGCATTCAAATGCAAGAGATGCTCTGTGCAGAGCAGCAGGATTTGGGGCTGTGGATATTATAGCCCACCACTGGAATCTTTCTCTAATCTTCTTTAGGATTATCTAGTACTGTTTAGGAAAGTGCATGCCCCCTCAACATGCTCAACACCTACAAAATAAATGAAAGCTAACCCTAACCCTTTCACTGTACAAGGCACCAAAACATGGAACACATTAAGGGAGAGTCAAACTGGGTCCTTTTTAAACATAAACTTAAATACTTTTTATTGAGAGGTGGACATTAATAATCTAACTGGCCTGATCTTGTATCTGTGATGTTTTAGTGTGTGATTTGTTCTGTTGTGTACAGTCACTGTGTTTTGTGTAAAAGCCTAACTGGGGACAGGCATTGAGAATTAGCCTTTAGCTAAAATGTTGAAGCGTGTGACATGATTCATGAAACATACTTTTCCCTATCAAATAAACGAATAAATAAATAAATACATTCTAAACTACAAGAGAGACTGTTTGAAATTAATACCATTTCCTGTTGTCAGGAGGCTTAAAAACCCTGCTGGGGAGGGGGGTCAGAGCCCTAACCGATATGTCTGTGGTCAGAGATGCATGCCTATATACAGTGGGATAAATAAGTATTTGAGCCCTTGCTGATTTTGCATGTTTGCCCACTTACAAAGAATGCAACGATCTATAACTTTAATCATATGTACATTCTAACAGTGAAAGACAGAATCCCAAAGAAAATTCCAGAAAATCACATCATATCAATTTTTATAAATTCATATGATGTGATTTTCTGGAATTTTCT